TGGCAAGACCAGCAAAACACCTTTTCCTTCCTACCTCAGTCTTATATTAGCTCTCTAAGTGATAGAGGCAGGAGGCAGAGAAACTCTAGGCAGACAAGGGTGGTTCTTTGGTGAAACCCCATCTTCAAGCTGAAAAACCTGGAGTGAGAACTTCTACCCCAGTTTGGCTGCTCTCTGTCAATTGTTCTTTCTGAATAATGTCTTTTTACCAATCGAATGTTGCCTTTTCCAAAACTACCTACAGCCTGCCCTGCTCCCCATCCCATGCCTATAAAGACTCCAGATTCAGCCAGTAGAGAGGAGAAGTAGCTGGACATCAGGGAGAGTTGACTTCACTTCAGAGGCGATGGCTGTACGTCCAGGAGAAGCAACTTGACTTCGGAGAAGTGAGGCAGAGAGGCGACTTGACTTCAGGGGAGAGCGACCTGCCCTTCCCATACGCTTTCCAGCTCCCCTCTCTGCTGAGAGCTGCTTTCATTGCACAATAAAATTCTCTGCACTCACCATCCTTCAGTTCATCTGTGTGGCCTCATTCTTCTTGGGCACCAGACAAGAATTTGGTACCCACGACGTGTGGGTACCCAAAAAGGCTGTCGCACTGGCCCTTTGCCCTTGCTGACAGAGGGCTGCCACCCCACGCAATGAGGCAAAGGTACCACTGAGCTGATAACACACTGCTGTCCGTGGATAGTGGAGCTAAGAGAGCATTGTAACATGCACTCTGGCACCTTCGGGTCGCAGGCACTCCTATCTGGATGCTGCCACAGAGCCTGGACGGAGTTTGCTCCTGCCAGTGCCAAAGCAGCTGGCCAGTTCCCACACTCACTTGCCTATGTGCTCCCTCCCATGAGGGGTGCGGTGAGGCGGGCCCTAGGAAAAGGTGTTTGCTCCTGCTGGTGCCAAAGTGGCTGGGCACCCCTGTCACGAGTCCTGTGAAGGGGTCAAGAAAGTATCCTGCATCATAAATTTATGACCCAAACTAGTCCTTAGGGATCTTGATCTCCTTTTCTTCCAACCATGTGACATCATTACTTTGCATTGATGATATTATGCTGATTGGGCAGGACCTAGCAACTACTGTAGACACACTGGTAACATACTGACATGACAACCTAAGTATCGATTCCCACAAAAAATCCGGGGCCTTTAAACTCAGTGAAATATTTAGTGGTCAAGTGCTCAGAGGCATGTCAACATAGTACTTATCAGGTGAACAGCAACTTGGTACATCTCACCCTTCCTGTCACTCAAAGGGGACACAAGAAATAGTGGGCCTCCTTTGTTTGTGATGGTGGTAACATGTACCTCATTGGGGTGCGCTGCTGTGACTTATCTGCTAATGACTGGAAAATCTGCTACTTCTGAGTTTGGCCTAGTACAAGAAAAAGCTCTCTGAACCCACACCTATGGCTCCGAGGGGGGTTCCTTATGAACAGAGTTGTCTCAAAAACAAACAATAAAAAAATCTCTAGGCCTGGCTTACTTACTATTTTTTCTTTATAATGGGCTGGCAGCACCTGTATTAGTTTTCTATTGCCACATAACAAATTACCCCAAATTGGGCAGCCTAAAATAACACACATTTATTATCCACAGCTCTGCAGATCAAGACCGGGAAGGCTCAACTGGCCTCTCTGCTGGGTGTCTCCCAAGGCCAACTCAAAATGTCAGGCCAACTGGGTGCTGATGCGGAGACTGTGGAATAATCCATTTCTAAACTTATTCAGGTTATTGCCCATTTAGATATAGTTCCTTGAGGTGGTAGGAAAGTGGCTCCCACGTTTTCGCTGGCGGTCATCCAGGGACTGCTCTAAACACCTATTGCCACCCTATATACCTTTTCAGGAGCACGGTATTACCCTCAAAGCGGGCCTGCTGTGTCACATCCTTCTTGTGCTTCGACTCTCTTACCTCTTCTTCTGCTCCTTGGTAAGGAAAATGCTCTGCTTTTCAACGATTCCCCTGCCAGGTCTGGCCCACCCACACCACTTCCATGCCTCAAGGTCAACTGACTTGAGACTTTAATTATCCACCAAAATCCCACCATAGTAGTATTTGGATTAATGCTTGATTGAGTATACAGGAGATGGGAACCTGGGGAATCAGACTACAGCTGTCTCAGTTTGAGCAGCTACCACGGAATACCACAGACTGGGTGACTTCATCACCAGACATTTCTTTCTCATAGTTTTGGAGGCTAGAAGTCCAAGAACAGGGTGCCGGCATGCTCAAATTCTGGTGAGCGTCCTCTTCCTAACTTGCAGTCAGCCACCTTGCTATATCCTCAAATGTTGAAGAGGCATGGAAGAACAAGTTCCCTTTTCTGTAATTATAAGGGCACTAATCTCATCATAGGGACCCAAACATCATGACTACATCTAAACCTAATTACCTTCCAAAGGCTCCACCTCCAAATATCATCCCATTGGGAGTCAGGGTTTCATCGTATGAATTCTCAGAGGACACAAATATTCAGTCCGTCTATAATGCCTGCCTACCACAAAAGCCAGAAGTGGACAGCTGTGTAGTCCTGAAGGACAGTGGTGAAGGGAAATCTTCCCAGAGGGAAGAACGTTGAGCAGTACTCTTGTGTGGAGGAGAGATGGCCAGGGCTATGAGATATTTGGGTCTCATGAGAGTTCTCAGCAAAGGGTAACCTCAGCAGAGAAGAATTTTAATAATCTGAAGGATAAGGTACTTATTATCTAGATATTAATCAGCCTCTTTCCCCAACACTTGTGTCATAACCTCATGGGCTCACAAAGTGGCCAAGGTGACAGGGATAGAGATTATGCTTCAGCAGCATGGACTTCCATTCACCAAGGCCAACCTGGCTACAATTGATAGAGATATGAGACAGCCAAGGATTCCCGGTGAAACCTGCCTTCAAGCCTAAAATGGCCTGAAGGTTGAAAAACCAGACTGCTGGTCCCAAATGTAACCCACGATCCACAGGGAGAATCGCCACTCTTTGCTCGCCCTTTTCCAACTGATTCTTTCTTAATAATGGTGACATGTGTACTGAGGAAAGGATGTGGAGCCACAGAAAGTTTGCAGCTAGTGCAGGGGTGGTGGTGGGGAGCTTGGTCTCTTCGGTTCCTGTGTGGTGGTCCAGAATCAATCTGTGAGATGGGGACTTGTTAGCAGGACTCCCTCCTGCTTTGCTGAGAGATATTTTTTCCTTCCTATTTTTCCTTTTCAACCAATAAATTCCGCTCCTCACCCTTCAATGTGTCTGCGAACCTAATCTTTCCTGGTTGTGTGACAAGAACTTGGTTTTAGCTGCACCACAGTCATTGCTGAGTGTACAATCTGACAGAAACAGAGAGCAACACTGAGCCTCTTATATGACACCTGCCTGCAGAGTGATCAGCCAGCTACCAGATGGCAGATAATTACATTGGACCACTTCCACTATGGAAGGGGCAGGGCTGTGTTCTTACTCAAATAGACACTTATTCTGATTATGGATCTTCCTTCCCACCCACAGTACTCTGAGAAAAGCAACATTTGTGCACTTAGAAAAATGCCTTATTTACCATCATGGTATTCCACACAGCATCACCTCGAAAAAAGGCACTCGCTTCACAGAAAATAAAAAGTGCAGCAATGGGCCCATGCTCATAGAAATTCACTGGTCTTATTATGTATATGCCCCTATCCCCCACCATTTTTTTAAGAGATGGTAGTGTTTTTCCCACCTTGTCTGGAACTCCACATCAGCCTCCCAAAGTGCCCCCCATTATCTTAAAGTGACTGGATCAACAGAACAGTGGAATGGCCTTGTGGAACTCAGTTATAGTACTAGCTAGGTGGCAATACCTTGCAGGTCTGAGAAATTACTTTTAGGAAGAAGTGTTTGCTGTTTATCTGCATCCAACATAGTTTGCTTTCTCTCCCATAGTCAGGATTCATGGGTCCTAGAATCAAGAAGTACAATTGGGAGTGTCTCTACTCACTTTTCACCCCAGTGGTCGACTAGCAAAAATGCTTCTTATTTTTCTGACTTGAGGCTCTGCTGAACTAGAAGTCTTAGTTCCAAAGGAAGAAATGCTTTCGCCAAGGGACATAACAGTAATTCCATTGAGAACAGATAGATACTGTCAGCTGGCCATTTTGGTCTCTTCATCAATTTCCATCTAGAGTCAAAGGAGGGGGTCATCTACTGGTTGGGGGTGATGAACTTGATAATGAAAGGGGGATGAATTGCACAGGGGCTAAAAGAGAGTATGTCTGACATGTCTAGAGAGCTTCTTAGACCTCCCTTTTTTTTTTCTTTGTTTGTTTGTTTTGAGACGGAGTCTCACTCTGTCGCCCAGGCTGGAGTGCAGTGGCGTGATCTCGGCTCACTGTAACCTCCACCTCCCAGGTTCAAGCAATCCTCCTGCCTCAGCCTCCCGAGTAGCTGGGATTACAACCACGGGCCACCATGCCTGGCTACTCTTTTGTATTTTTAGTAGAGACAGGGTTTCACCATGCTGGCCAGGCTGGTCCTGAACTCGTGACCTCGTGATTCGCCTGCCTCGGTCTCCCAAAGTGTTGGGATTACAGGAGTGTGCCACTGCTCCCTGCCCCTCCCATGTTTTTTGATTGCACTTAATGGAAAATTACAGCAACCCAATCCAGGCAGGATATCGAATGGTCCAGAATGTTCAGTAATGAAGGTTTGAGTCATCCTGCCAGGCCAAGCACCATGACAGGCTGACATGCTACCTCAGGGCAAAGGGAATGAGAAATAGGTAGTGAAAGAAGGCAGTTATAAATACCAGTTATAGCAATGTGAGCTGCTGCAGAAACCAGAACTGTAATACTAAATACCTTGGTGAGTTATTAACTCATATACCTCCTCAAGTGGAAGAAGAAACCAACAAACAAGAAAAGTGCAGCTTTTACTAACAGTGATTTATTAAATTTAAACAGCTCCCTTTTTCATAGCTTTTGGAAGGGAAATCACTTCAGAATTATAGAGAGCTTCAGCAATAACCTGTTCCATCCTACAGCATATGTTCTTGTTTCTCCTTGGTCTTTGCACTAACACAATTATTTTTTTCTCATGTGCTTAACTTTTCTGAGATGGCAGTGGGAATCTATTTCTTTAAGCACCTTCTCGAGTTGCTGAATTAAGACAACTTTTTTAAACCTGAAATTAAAGAGGAATTCCATTCACCAGATGATATCTACAGGATCTATGAGATGTAAGAGGTAGAGTGGATACAAAATAGAGTTTACCATCTACATGCAAATAGAAAATGCATCCTCATGGAAAGATACAAACTAGAAAAATACAAAGTGAGTCAACTGAGGGTCCATGCACACTCCCAGATTTTGATAAATTTGGAAGGCCCCCTGGCATTGGAAGAAAGTGTTAGAATAAGATAATATCAACCTAAATGCCTGTGGAAATAGCATGAACTATGAATGAGAGCCAGAGATTAGGAGGAACAAACATGATTTGTCCCTGCCCCTGTCCCAAATTGGGCACAAATGCTTAAAATAGCAGAGTTCCTTTTTGCACTCACCTTGCTGCTTCCTTGATGGTAAATTCAACAAATTGTCTCTTGACCTTCATAGATCCTTGTACCTCTTCAAGCAAAATGAAAATTCTTTCATAATCTGAAGATATTTTAAAAATTAGTATTTCTACAATTACGAACATGAAATATACCTCAATCTTAGTGCATCCACTACCACAGTATACATTTTTCATGGGCTAAAATGTTACATAGTGTTTGTGTTTTGAATGCTTAAATCACAACATCTGTATATTACTAAGGAACTATTGTGAAAAACAAAACACTTAAGCAGACATATTAGCAATTTCCAGTGAAAATTAAGTGAAGCCATGCTAAATTATATACAGATCCAATTCAACCAAACAATGAGCTCAAGAGGCAGCTGACTTCTGTTCTAAATCATAGAATGAGAGACTTCTCATGCTTTCATTGATAAGACATTCTTGCATTACTTACTTTGCCCAAACCTTCGAACTTCTTTCATTAGTTGATATTTTATATCATCATTAATTTTCTTTGCCATGGCAGGAGATATTTGTAGTGTATTTGGCACAGTTTCCACTGAAGACATTGCTGTGACTGGTGGGTCACCTGCAGAGACACTGTAGTTTTTGATGCCTACAGCAAATTCATTACTATCAGGTTTGTAAAGCAGCTCATCTTTGCTGAGACTTGTGAAGTCGTAAGAGAAAGAACCCAACGCCTTGGGTGGCATACGATGTCCTGTCATATTTATAAGCTCTGGTAAATCAGAATTTGACAGGAGGCCATCAGGAGGGATTTGACCATTTTCCATTTCCTCCTCCTGGATATCGTGAATGACAGTAGAATCTGGAATCCAAATGAAAAAGTTGAGCTGTGAGGTAAGTGCATTATGTCACCCCCACGGTATATCCCTCTGATGCCCGGTTTCTAGGAAGTCATCTCATGAAGCAAGAGGATATACCAGGTAGCGATCCGAGACCTCTCAAACTAAGTTCAAGTAAGATAATACAACAAAACCACCTTCTTCCCTGCAGGACACTATGCAGGGATATGGAAACCAAGCAGGACAGTACAACCAATACACAAACATACACAGACCCCTGGTGCTCCTGGATGAAATACCAGCTCCTGACAGATTAGTACACCCTGGTGGAACTGTTGACAAGGAGTTATCAGGTCTCTGTTGGTCATTTTTCATCTTCGCCTCATGGACATTGTGAGTGGCGGTGATATCTGGAAACAAAATGAAGAGGTCGAGCTGTGAGGTAAGTGCATAATGACAACCCCACAGGGATATCCTACTGATGCTCAGTTTCTAGGACATTATCCCATAAAGCAGGAGGATATACCAGGTGGCAATCAGAGACCCCTGAAATTGAGGCAAGCAAAGGTAATACCGCAAAACCACCTTCTTCCCTTGATGACACTATACATGCATATGGAAATCAAGAAGGACAGTATAAGTAAAAAACACACATACACCACAGATCCCTGGAACTCATTGCTGGAATACTAGCTCCTGCCACATTAATAAACCCAGATAGAACATTTGGCAAGACGTTATCCTGTTGTGGTTGGCCATTTTCCATCCTTGCTTCATGGACATGGTGATTGACAGTAGCATCTGGAAACCAAATAAAGAGGTCGAGCTGTGAGGTAAGTGCATTATGCCAACCACACATGTATATATCCCTCTGACGCTCAGTTTTTAGGAATTTATCACGTAAAGCAGGAGGATATACCAGGCAGTGATCTGAGACCCCACAACTTCACCTACAAAAGACAATACAATAAAACCACAAGCTCCTGCCACATTAATAAGCCCTGTTGAAGCAGTTGACAAGACGTTATCAGGTTGGGGTTGGCCCTTTTCCATCTTCTCCTCAGGGACATTGTAAGTGATGGTAGCATCTGGAAGCCAAATGAAGAGGCTGAGCTGTTAGTTAAGTGTGTTATGGTAACCACACAGGTATATCTCTCTGATGCTCACTTTCTAGGAAATTATCTCATAAATGGAGGATATATAAGGTTGCCATATGAGACCGCTGAAATTGAGGCCAGGAAAGACAATACAACAAAACCACCTTGTATGATTTTTGACACTGTGCATGCACATGGAAACCAAGTAGGACAGTAATACAAATGAACAAACTTACACGGATCCCTGGTACTCATGGTTGAAATACCAGTGGCTGCCATATTAATAAGCTGTGGTCGAAGAGTCAATAGCACATTATCAGGTGCTGGTTGGACATTTTCCATCTTCTGTTCATGGCCATTGTGAGTGACTGTAGCATCTGGAAACCAAAGGAAGAGGCTGAGCTGTGAGGTAAGTGCATTATGCCAACTCACAAGTATATCCCTCTGGTGCTCAGTTTCTATGAAACTATTTCATAAAACAGTAGGATATATCAGGTGGTGATGTGAGACCCCTCAGATTTACGCCAGAAATGATAACACAACAAAACCACCTTACTCCCTTCATGGCACTATGTATGCATATGAAAACCAAGTAGGACAGTACAACTTATAAGTGGACATACAGAGATCCCTGGCACTCGTGGCTGGAATAGGAGTTGCTGCCATATTAATAAGTCCTATGGGACCAGTTGACAAGATGTTATCAGGTTGGGGTTGACCATTTTCCATTCTCTCTTCACGGATATTGCGAGTGACGGTAGAATCTGGAAACCAAATGAAGAGTTCAAGCTGTGAGGTAAGTGCATTATGTCAGTGCCACAGGTATGTCCCTCTATCCCACCCATAAACCAGGAGGACATATCAGGTTGTGATTTGAGACCCCACGGTTTTAGGCCAGAAAAGATAATAAAACAAAACCACCTTCTTCTCTGCATGACACTGCATGTGTATGAAAAACAAGTAGGATAGTACAACTAGTAAACATACACTGATTCCTGGTACTCATGAGTGAAATACCAGCCCATGTGAAATTCATAAGCCCTGCTGTAATAGTAGACAAGAATTTATCAGGTGCTATTTGTTCATTTTTTATCTTCTATTCACAGATAGTGTGAGGAACAGTTGAATCTGGAAACCAAATGAATAATTTGAACTGTGAGGTAAGTCCACTATGTCAGCCCAACAGGTATATCCCTCTGATGTTCACTTTCTAGGAAATTATCTAGGAAATCAGGGGAGGATATGCCAGACGGCCATCTGAGACTCCACCAATTGAGACCAGGAAAGTATATACAACAAAAGCAACTTCTACCCTTCATGAAAATATGCATGCCTATGGAAAACAAGTATGACAGTACAACTATTAGCGGACATACACAGATCTCTGGTACTCATGGATGGAATACCAGCTGCAGCCCTATGAACAAGCCATGGGGAAACAGTTGAGAAGACTTTATCAGTTTGGGATTGGCCATTTTCCATCCTCTCTTCACAGATGTTGTGAGTGATGGTAGCATCAGGAAACTGACAGAACAGGTTGAGTTGTGAGGTATGTGCATTATGACAATCTCACCAGTATATCCCACTGATGCTAAATTTCTAGGAAATTATCCCATAATGCAGGAGAATACATCATATAATGATTTGAGTCCACTCAAGTTGAGATCAGGAAAGATTATTCAACAAAACCACCTTCTTCCCTTCATGACACTACGCATGCATATGGAAACCAAGGACACTACAACTAATAAACAAACATACACAGATCCCTGGTACTCCTTGCTGGAATACCAGCTCCTGTCATATTAATAAGCCCTGATAGAACATTTGACACGACATTATCTCGTTGGGGTTGACCATTTTCCATCCCCTCCTCATGGACATTGTGATTGACGGTAGCGTGTGGAAACCAAGTGAAGAGGTTGAGCTGTGAGGTAAGTGCATTATGTCAACCCCACAGGTATATCCCTCTTTGTGCAGTTTCTAGGAAATTATCTGAAAAATCAGGGGAGGATATCCCAGGTGGCCATCTGATACCCCTCAAATTGAGGCTAAGAAAGAATATACAACAAAACCACCTTCTATAATTCATGAAAATATGCCTGCTTATGGAAACCAAGTAGGACAGTACAATTAATAAGCAGACATACACAGATCTCTCGTACTCGTAGACGAAATTCCTGCTGCTGCCATAGCACCAAGCCATGGTGGAGCAGTTGACAAGATGTTATCAGCTGCTGGTTGGCTGTTATTTATCCTCTCTTCATGGACGTTATGAGTGACTGCAGCATCTGGAAACCAAGGGAAGAGGTTTAGCTATGAAGTAAGTGCATTATGCCAATCCCACAGGTATATCCCTCTTTGTGCAGTTTCTAGGAAATTATCTAAAAAAGCAGGGGAGGATATCCCAGGTGGCCATCTGATACCCCTCAAATTGAGGCTAAGAAAGAATATACAACAAAACCACCTTCTATAATTCATGAAAATATGCCTGCTTATGGAAACCAAGTAGGACAGTACAATTAATAAGCAGACATACACAGATCTCTCGTACTCGTAGACGAAATTCCTGCTGCTGCCATAGCACCAAGCCATGGTGGAGCAGTTGACAAGATGTTATTAGTTGCTGGTTGGCTGTTATTTATCTTCTCTTCATGGATGTTGTGAGTGACTGCAGCATCTGGAAACCAAATGAAGTGGTTGAGCTGTGAGGTAAGTGCATTATGTCAACTGCACAGGCAAACCCCACTGATGCTCAGTATGTCATAAAGAAGGAGGATATACCAGGTAGCAATCTGAGAACCCTAAAATTGAGGCCAGAAAAGATAATACAACAAAATTACCTTCTTCCCTCATGACACTATGCATATATGGTGCATAGTAGAATCCTCGTAGGAAAGTATAACAAGTGAGCAAACTTACACTGGTCCCTGGTACTCATGGATGAAATTCCAGCTGCTGCCATATTAATAAGCGCTGTTGGAACAGTTGCAATGACATTATTGTGTGCTGGTTGGCCATTTTTTATCTTCTCTTCATGGACATTGTAAGTGACGCTAGCATCTGGAAACCAAATGAAGAGGTTGAGCTGCAAGATAGGTGTGTTTTGTCCCATCCTCCTCCAGAGAGACAGCTATGTATTCATCAGTTTCTAAAGAATTATTTATTTCATGAAACAGATTTACCACGTGGAAATCTCCGATCTTGCGAACAGAGATCAGGTCAGATAATACAATAAAACTACCTTTTTACCTCTTGGCGTAATGAATACATGCAGTAAAGAAGTACGACAGCAGAATAAACATTCACAGGTTTTTGTATTCATCATTTTGTATCATCTTTCTGCCCTTTACAATTCTCACTTGATATTATTTGTATAGTTCACCTATAAATACCATGCTGTGTGCAGCAGGAAGCCAGACTAAGTGACCCTCCTTAACCTGCTTCCTTTCTACCCCAAATATTCTGAGAAAATAGACGTGGCTATTGGAGTTGAACACTCTTATCTCTACTCCATCCTCACACATCTGTGGTTTTATATGATTCTATAGATCCTGCCCTTTTGTCTAGAAAAAGTGACTTTCTTTTCACTCCAGGTCTGATGCCTCTTTCATTTATTCATCATCTGTGGCAGGCAGCATGCCAGGAGCTGGGGATCAGCAGTAAACACCCCAGAGAGCAATGTTCCCTGCCCTTGTGGACCTCACATCCTCATGGGGCAGTCAGACAGTACATGCACAAAGAGCAAATGAAACAAGCAGCATTGGGCTGGTTTGGAAAAGCAGTACACAGGTCTGTGGGAGAGAGCAGCAGAGAGAGCCCCAGGGGCTGTGGCTGGTTTGGCAGGGCCTTCTGAAGAGGTGCCACTGGGCAGGGCTTAGAGGAAGAAGCAGAGCCTCCTGTGCAGAGGCAGAGGGAGAGTTCCAGGCTGCGGTGAGGCCAAGGGTAGGGGATGGAGTGGGGATGGACAGGGCACTACAGAGCTGAAGGACAGAGGCAGAGAGAGCCAGGAGGAAATGGATGGGACCTGTGTTAGGAGAGGGTGACAGAGGCCAGGCCGTGCAGAGGCTTGCAGACCAAAGTCAGTTCAGGATCTGTTCTGAGTGCTTAGGAGAGTTGAAGATGGGTTTTCAGAAGGGACATGGCATGATGTGATTTACGTGCTGACATAATTATCTAGCCACAAGGTTAGAGAGTATGCGATAGATGAGTGAAGATTAGAAACACAGAGCTAAGAAGATATTGTACTAGCCTGGACAGAGATCACGGCAGTGTGCACTGGAGGCATAGAGAGAAACGGTTGGATGCAGAATTTATACTGGGCATTGACTGCTGGACTTGCTAAGAGATGGGAAATGAGAGAGCAATAAAAGAATCATAAGATAATTCATAAGTGACTTTAAGTATTTTGACTTGAACTACTAAGTGAAAGTACACCAGGGGTATTCAGGAGATGTTAGGAAACTGACTGTGAGAGCCGAGTGCTGCCAACTCTTCCTGAATCTGGTTCAGTGACCTTATGTTGACAGCTTGAACTAGGCCATGGTGGGATTACTTGCACTATGGATAGCTGCAAACTATGAAAACCAGCACTCCTCAGTTCCCCATACCTGTGAACATCTGGTTGTTACACCTTTGTGGATGTTTCACCCAATGGATAGTGTCTTTAACTGAAATAGTGAAGGCTAAAAGTATAGTATTTTTGGAGAGAGGGAGGTCAGAAATATGAGGATGTAGGGGGAGTTGAATTTTAGATGCCTATTAGACAGCCAGTAGAGATATCATGCGAGTAGTTGTATTTGAGTCTGGATTTCAGGAACAAGTTGTAGTGTAGAAGTATAATGGTGAGAGTTCTTTCAGTGTGAATCATTTAAAATTCTAAGACAGCATGGCATTACCTTAAGAGATACTATATTGAAGAGAAGAGACCCTAGGATCAAGCTTTGTGGCTCTGAAATATTTAGAGGTGGGAAGGCAGAGGAGAAAAACAAAAAAGAGAAGGAAAATGAGTCTCTAGTAACAGGGTAACAAATCCAGGTGTCTGGGGACCCAAGAAACTTTCCGTGCAGGAGGAAGTAAACAACTGTGTTGCATGCTGCTGAGACATTAATGCCAAAATGCAGCAAACACTGGTGACCTTGATGATAGTAGTTTCATTGGAGTACATTAAGAAGCCAGACTGCACTGGGTTAGAGCGGAATGTGAGGACAGGCAGAAAGTGAGTAGACCCAAACTCTTGTTGAGCCCACCATCCCCTTCTGCCTCAGGAACCTCCTTCATTCATCTAATGCTTACAGCAACTCCAAATTGTTGCACCTAATTAGAACCTTGCCCTTCCACTTGTAAATGTGCTCATATCTGTTGATCCCTCAAGGACAAATGTCCTTTGACATGGTTGAGGCCCAAAGATTGGATTCCCCCTCACCTTCCTGTTTGTCTAACCACAGGGACATACTCTTCCTTCTCTTAGATGAAGAGTGTCTCTTAGATTTTCTGGAATGTTTCTTTTTGCTTTGATGTCCTTTTGCAACCGGATTTACTTCATCACTCCTCATTTGCTGAAAAACATCAGTGAACATATTCCATTAAAGACAAATCCAACCATTGCAAAGTCATAGCCTTCATATGCATACACAGCCATGCATTTATATCATTAATGTAAGTTTTAGTCATAGGTCAAAGATTTCTCATCACTGAACACACACAATGCTCTTAGAAAAGGCAAGCTAATTTTAATCTAGTCTCAGTGAAACAAGGGAAGGTAAAATACAAGGTGTTATCCAAAGTCAAACATGGTCCAGTCATGATAAATCAGAATGCTTGGGGAATGAGTGGCTTTCATCATACAAAGGAATAAACATATGGTTCTCTCTGTCATGAAGTACACATCATTTTGTCTCAGCACTTGTTAGGGGAGGAAAGAAAAAATAAATACCTTATTTTATCTTTTACTGCCTTTCTTTTTATGAGACAGAGTCTCGCTCTGTCGCCCAGGCTGGATTGCAGTGGCGCGATCTCGGCTCACTACAGGTGCCTGCCACCACGCCCGGCTAATATTTTGTATTTTTAGTAGAGACGGGGTTTCACCATGTTAACCAGGATGGTCTCGATGTCCTGACCTTATGATCCTCCCGCCTCGGCCTCCCAAAGTGCTGGGATTACAGGTGTGAGCTACCGCGCCTGGCCTCTTTTAGTGCTTTAAAGTTATGTATTAGCAAATACTGATTAATACTTTATTAGATAATACATAAAGATAGTGAAGGGTAGGATAGTTTGAAAAGGTAAATTTTCCCACCTCCAACCTTATGGAGATTCCAATATGTTGATCTTGGACTCAGGTAGGGGTAGGGCGTGCTTTGCAAGGTTAGTGGTAGATAAAACATGAAATTGAAGGGTATAGTATATTAACTAAAAGCTGTTTTCATCAAAGGATAACCAAAGAATATGCTCCTGATACCAGAGGTACCAAGAAGAGCTGGTAATATTACTACTGAAACTATGCCAAAAAATTAAAAAGGAAGGACTTCTACCTAACTCATTTTATGAGACCAGCATCGCCCTGATACCAAAACGTGGCAGAGATACAACAAATAAAAACTTCAGGCCAGTATTCCTGATGAACATCGATGCAAAATCCTCAATAACATACTGGAAAACTGAATCCAGCAGCACATCAAGAAGCTTATCCCCCATGAGCAAGTTGGCTTCATACCCGGGATGCAAGGTAGTTTCAAAATAGGCAAATCAATGAATGTAATTCATCACATAAACAGAACTAAAGACAAAAACCACATGCTTATCTCAATAGATGCAGAAAAGATCTTTGATAAACCTCAACATCCCCTTACATTAAAAGCTCTCAATAAACCAGGTATTGAAGGAACATACCTCAATATAATAAGAGCCATATATGACAAACCCACAGTCAATGTCATACTGAATGGGAAAAACCTGGAAGCATTCCCGTTGAAACTGGCACAAAACAAGGATGCCCTCCCTCACCTCTCCTATTCAACATAGTATTGCACGCTCTGTCCAGGGCAATCAGGCAAGACAAAGAAATAAAGGGTATTCAAAAAGGGGGACAGGAAGTCAAATTACCTTTGTTTGCAGATGACATGACCCTATATCTAGAAAATCCCATTGTCTCAGCCCAAAAGCTTCTTAAGCTGATAAGCAACTCCAGCAAAGTCTCAGGATACAAAATTCATGTGCAAAAATTGCTAGCATTCCTCTACACCAAAAACAGGCAAGCAGAGAGACAAATCATGAATGAACTCCCATTCACAATTCCTATAAAAAGAATAAAGTACCTAGGAATATGGCTAACAAGGGAAGTGAAGGACCTCTTCAGAGAGAACTATAAACCACTGCTCAAGGAATCAGAGAGTAAACAAACAAATGGACAAACATTCCATGCTTATGGATAGGAAGAATCAATATTGTGAAAATGGCCATATTGCCCAAAGCAATTTAGATATTCAATGCTATTCCCATTAAACTATCAAGGACATTCTTCACCAAGTTAGAAGGAGCTTTTTAAGAATTCATATGGAACGAAAAAAGAGCCAGAATAGCTAAGACAATCCTAACCAATAAGAACAAAGCTGGAGGCATCACACTACGTAACTTCGAACTATACTATGGGGCTACAGTAACCAAAACAGCATGGTACTGGTAGAAAAACAGGTACATGGACCAATGGAACAGAATAGAGAACTCAGAAATAAGATCACACAGCGATAATCATCTGATCTTTGACAAACCTGACAAAAACAAGCAATGGGGACAGGATTCCCTGTTTAATTAATGATGCTGGGAGAACTGGCTAGCTGTATGCAAAAATTGAAACTGGGCCCCTTCCTTACACCTTATACAAAAATTTACTCAAGATGGATTAAAGACTTAAAGTAAAACCCCAAACTATAAAAACCCTAGAAAAAAAAATATAGGCAATATTATTCAGGACATAGGCACGGGCAAAGATTTCATGACAAAAATACCAAAAGCCATGGCAACAAAAGCAAAAATTGACGAATGGGATCTAATTAAACTAAAGAGCATATGCATAGCAAAATGAACTATCATCAGAGTGAAGAGCCTACAGAATGGGAGAAAACTTTTGCAATCTGTCCATCTGACAAAGGTCTACTATCCAGAGTCTACAAGAAACTTAAACTAATTTACAAAAGAAAACCAAACAACCACATTAAAAAGTGGGCAAAGGACATGAACAGACACGTCTCAAAAGAAGATATTTACGCAGGCAACAAACGTGAAAAAAAGTGCAACATCACTGATCATTAGAGAAATGCAACTCGAAACCACAATGAGATAACATCTCATGCCGGTCAGAATGGCAATTACTAAAACGTCAAAAAACTACAGATGCTGGCAAAGTTGTGGAGAAAAAGGACTGCTTTTATACTGTTGGTGGGAGTGTAAATTACTTCAACTATGTGGATGACAGTGTGGTGATTCCTGAAAGATTTAGAGGCAGAAATATCATTTGATCCAGTAATCCTATTACTGGGTATATACCAGGAGAAATAAAACTCATTCTATTACAAAGTATGCACAAGTATGTTCATTGCAGCACTATCCACAATAGCAAAGATGTGGAATCAACCCAAATGCCCATCAATCATAAACTGGATAAAGAAAATGTAGTACATATACACCACAGAATACTATGCAGCCATAAAAAGGAATGAGATCATGTCCTTTGCAGAAATATAGATGGAGCTAGAAGCCGTTATCGTCAGCAAACTAACGCAAGAAAAGAAAACCAAACAGCACATGTTCTTACTTACAAGTGGGAGCTGAATGATGAGAACACATGGACACGTCGGGCAGGGCAACACACACTGGGACCTGTCGGGGGAGGAGTGGGGGGACGGAGTGCATCAGGAAAAATAGCTACTGGGTGCTGGGCTTAATACCAAGGTGATCGGTTCATAAGTGCAGCAAACCACCATGCCACACGTTTACCTATGTTACAAACCTGCATATCCTGCACATACCCCAGGACTTAAAATAAAAGTTGAAAAAAGAAAGAGTATGCTCCTGCATATTTAATGAAATTATATATTTCGGTATAATTTTCATTAAATTATACCGAAATATATAATTTTGATTAAAAATTTTTCCAAACCACTTTCATTTCCTGTAAAAGCGGAGTGGAGAATGTGTGAAAACATTTTCACTGAACATTTACTACCCTCCAGGTACTGTTCTAAATGCTTTACATGTATTAACTCAATCCTTGACCAATCCCTATGAGTGAGGTGTGATTCTTATGTCTATTGTTAAAAAAGAGAAAATAAAGGCACAGAAAATTAAGGAAAAGCCTAACTAATTGAGGAGTTTGGGGAATGTGGGAGAATTACTTTAGTCTGGTTTTGTTACAGAAGAGGTTATTGTCTATTTGCGTCCTTATACCAACGGTCTTTTCCACGAGTGCAGATGCAATTCCCTTTGTCTTCATGTTTTAATAGTGAAGTTAGTATGTCTCTCTCATACACAACACATTAAGATCTCCATTAGGACAATCCAATCATGGCAACATCACCTAGTGCTTCATATTCCACGAGAAATACTTAGTCATTGTTTTAGACAGAGCACTAGTGACTTGGATAACAGAAACAGAGACTGTAGAATGCAATCTTGATACTAAAGTAGTTATTGTGGGGAGTGGGAAAGAATATAGACTCTGGAGTGAGAAAGATATGCGTTCAAACCTTGGCTGTATCTCCTATCATGTGTCACGTGGGGCAAGCCTTTTGACCACTGTCAGCCTTGATTTCTTATTAAACGGTAAACAGTAATACACATCCGCAGAACAACTATGACCATTCAATGTGATAATTAAAAACATCAGTTTGGCCAGGCGCGAAGGCTCATGCTTGTAATCCCAGCACTCTGGGAGGCAAGGTGGGTGGATCACCTGAGGTCGGGAGTTCGAGACCAGCCTGACCAACATGGAGAAACTCTGTCTCTACTAAAAATACAAAAAATTAGCCGGGTGTGGTAGTGTATGCCTGTAATCCCAGCTACTCAGAGGCTGAGGCAGGAGAATCACTTGAACCTGGGAGGGGGAGGTTGTGATGAGCCGAGATCGTGCCATTTCACTCCAGTCTGGGTAACAAGAGCGAAACTCCATCTCAAAGAAAAAAAAAAGAAAGAAATAATAAAATAAAATTCAATTTAATTTAAAAACATCAGTTCCTGGTACAATCAATCCACTCTTGGATCAAAAAGTTCCCATTTTATGTTCACATAAGTTTTCCTGTGTCATATTGTATCTTTTAAATCAAGAGAATTAATACATATAGTTTATATTCATGTTTCCAATGAGAAAATAATTATACCAAGAATGTCACAATTAGGGCAGAAATAGATTTATCTTACCGGCCCACCATTTGTAAACACATAGGCAACAGTATGAAGTTCTTCAGGTGGAGTTAGTTGACTCATTCGAAATGGAGAAGCCTGCATCTGCAGATAGTCCTCAGGACTAACTATGTGTGTTATTAGAACATTTTGATTTATAACTGGAACATAACTGGCACATAAATTGGCACTACACAGCTGAAATATATGATCCTCTTGAGAGTACATGATCACAGACTGTCTTAGCAATATGCGCCTTGGTACCAAACAGAGTTTAGAATCTCATGTCTAGAATCTATATCATGTTCCGTGATCTAGAATCATCTCCCTTTATCCATCAGTCCACCATCACTACTTCCTGTAGGTTCACACCACTAGGTTAAACGACTCCCTTATGCTTCCACCACAGTTGGAGAACTGGCTGACCTTCCTCATACCACCATCCCAACTAAAAATCTATAATTCTAAATATTAAAACTTTAATATTTATAATGTCAATTTTCAATGAATTCCACAAGTTCATTTTTTTTTCAGGCTTAAAGGAGAAGTACGTATTAATGAGCACATACACTGTCCTAGTTATCCTACCTGCCCATCATTTATAAACACATAGTTCAAAGTATAAAGTTCTTCAGCTGGAGTTGGCTGACTCGTTTGAAGTGGAGGAACCAGCATCCGCAGATACTCCTCATAGTTAACTATGTGTGTGTGACTAGAACACTCTGATTAAAAACTAGAACATAAATGACAAAGAAATCGACACTATTCTTCCCACTGGAAGGGTGTAGGCTCCATGGCATTCTCTTATCATCCAGGGAATGCTGGGTAGTGGGCCTAACCCTCTTTTGATAATTTGATTACATCTACAGATATTTTTCCCTGGGAAAGTACCTTTACATACAAACTTGGTGTACAATTTCAGAAGTGTGACCAGCCTAAGATCTGATTAATTTAGTGGACAGATGACCCCACTTAAAATCACCAAAATGGGGGTAAAAAGGGTTTGTGAACTGTTGCCAATTATCCTGGATACTATCAGTTTTGTTATTTCTGTGTAAACAAGGAATTCTCTGCTGAACTCACAGCAGTAAGCAGTGTGATATAGTATTTGTGTGTGCAATCTCTGGAATCTGAGAGACCTAGGTTCCGTCACTTTTCCAACTGGTTATACCTGGGAGAGCTACTTAAATGTACACTCTAAGATTCTATTTCCATAAAAAGGGCATAAAACAGTATCTAACTCGTGGTGCTCTTATAAGGATTAACAGAGACAAAGCACAAAGAGGATAGTGTATGTGCTGGTTAGTACATACATTCCTTTAAGCTTGAAAAAAAAAAACTTGTGGGATTTAGTGAAAATCGGCATTCTATATATTAAAACATTAAAAAATTAACTGCTCATGCAATAAACAGCTTCCTACAAACTAGACTTGATACTTTCAAAATCAATAAAAGCCCGGCACAAAAAAAAAACGTGTTTGGTTTCAGCATACCAAATTTCCTTCTGGTTAACTAGTCGAAATGACTGCTACTTGCAATATCATAAGCATTTCTACGTGTCTAAGGTTTCAAATCTTCCTTTATGAAACAAATCATTTGTTATTCCTGAAGTTTTAAAATGGTGTATTTAATACAAGCAAGCAGAAGGAGGGGAATGATGAAAATTAGAGTAGAAGAAAATCAATGAAATTAAAAACAGAAAAATCAATGAAATCAAAAGTTGGTTCACAGAAAAGGTGAAAAAAAATCTAACAATCTTTTAGCTTGACTGACCAAGAAAAATAGAAAGGCCTACACCGATTATCAAAATCATAAATGATAGAGGGGTTATTAATACTGACCTTATAGAAATTAAAAGGAATACATTTTGAACAACTTTACGTCAACAAACTAAACAACTTAGATAACATGGAAAAATTCCTAGAAGACAAATTACTGACTCAAGAAGAAACAGGCTGGGCACAGTTGCTCACGCCTGTAATTCCAGCACTTTGAGAGGCCGAGGCGGGTGGAATCACCTGAGGTTGGGAGTTTGAGACTAGCCTGACAAACATGGAGGAACTTCGTCTCTACTAAAAATACAAAATTAGCCGGGCGTGGTGGCACATGCCTGCAATCCCAGCTACTCGGGAGGCCGAGGCAGGAGAATCACTTGAACCCGGGAGGCGGAGGTTGTGGTGAGTGGAGATTACACCATTGCACTCCAGCCCGGGCAAGAAGAGCGAAACTCCGTCTCAAAATAAATGAATAAATAAATAATTAGTAATTAGAAAATCGAATTAGGACTATAGCATGAAAAGGGATTTAATTAGTAATTTAAAATCTCCCCAGAAATACGAAGCAAGCCAAGATGGCTTCGCGTGTAAATTCTAACAAACATTTAAGGAAGAAATAATACCAATACTTAGCAATGTCTTCCAAAAAATAGCGGAGGAACACTACTTCATTCTGTGAGGCCAATATTACTCTGATATCAAAGCCAGAGAAATATATGACAAGATATATTTGCATGTCAGCTCCAAATTCACCTTTTTATCCTGCTGTGTGAGAAGGTTCTGCGTTCTTCTGCCTCTGTCCGCTGTGCAGTTGATAGTGAAGACCGCCTAAAGAGAGCACCAGAGTCAGCTAAGGGGAGGGCTGCGCTTCCTGGTTGTCTGGCTGGCGTCCACGGTCCTGCTGAGCACGAAGCTTCTCTTCCGGACTCTGGCGCCCCACACAGGTTCCCAGTGTTAGGCTGGGGCAGGGTACGCCATGGCCGGCAGCTTCCCTTCTTTTTTTTTTATTTTATTTTATTTTTTATTTTATTTTATTTTTTTAAATTTATTATTATTATACTTTAAGTTGTAAGGTACATGTGCATAACGTGCAGGTTTGTTACATATGTATACTTGTGCCATGTTGGT